TAAGGGTTAATTTGACCAAAACACCCCCGTTTCACCTAAAATCAATGAAAAATTACTTTTTCTACTATAAGAAAAAGTTTTCAACCATTTAAATTAAAATCCCAAGGGGGCGAAATATATGCCTTAGGGGCCCTCCTCCTTTTTGTTGATTTCACTAAAAAATTTATTAACAATTGCAGACAAAAATACAATAATTTGAAAACTTTTTAAGCGAAAAATGGTTTCAGATAGTTCAATTTACAAAGAATATTATAAAAATCAATAAAAATAATTGAATTTCAGGAGAGTTATAATTGAAATTATTAAATTTTAAAAAATTTCAGATGGACAATTTTAGAAATAATTCAATTTTAGAAGGTTTTAAATTGAAATTTTTGAAAATAATTGAATTTTAAAAGATTGATAATTAAATTTTCGAAGAATTAAAAAATCATTAGAAATAATTGAAATTTTTTGCAAATAATTAAATTTCAAGTGATTTTGAATTAAAAATTTTTGGTAATTTTATTACAATATTATTACAATATTTTTTTATAATTTGTTGATTAATAAAAACTACAAGAAATATTTTTTAGGCAAAAAATTATAGAATTTTTCATTTTTAAAAATTATTTCTTTAAAAATCGTTAATTTTATTTGCTAATTTTTTTAATATTATAAACAATTTTTAATATTATTAAAGTTTTAATTAAAAAATAGTTTAATATAATTGAATTTGTGAAGAATTTCGTTTGAATTATTGAAAATAATTAATTTAGTAGGTAAAGAATTTTAGTTAAAAATTTGTTAAATAATTGAAATAAAGAAGATTTGAACATTGTATACTAAAAAAAAATATTTTGTTAAAAAATATAAAAAAAAGTAGAAAAAGTCGCATTTTATTAAAATAAGTCGAAAAAAGTCGTATAATCCGATGCCTGGTAGCGTGTACGTTATACTCAATTTGAGCTCAGATTTTTTCTGTGTTATAAATTATGTTATATTTTGGTAATTTCTATCATTAATGTTGATAATATTAAAGTCTCTTTTATTTGTCTCCTTCAGATTTTTTTCCAGTTAAAGAAATATTTCTGAGAATTTATAAAAATCCTGAATTAGTTAAAAAAAAAAATTGCTATGTAATTAAATTTTGAAAAATATATAATATTAATATTATATATAAAAGGAGGAGAAAACTATATCGTATACTTTTATCAATAACAATTTCTATAGCTATTACGTACTTGTTTCAGCATCAAATTAACAACCGCATCTTGTCTCGCAGTTTTCCTTCCGAGTGCCGGAGCAGAGGAGAATTTTCATGGAAGTGCGAGGACCAAGTTGAGTCTCCTCTACTGTCTCGTCTCTTGCAAATGTATCGTAAATTGTCGTTGCGAAGTGCTTAATGCAGGAGATGAGGAGAAAGAGAAAATATACTCTTAGCAGAGGGAGAAGAGCCATTTCATGGTGCCCGATCACATTAGAATTCACGACTTCATGACGTCAGAAACGACGTAAAATCGTCATAGTTAAGTTACATAGCCCTAATGGCGCCATAATTCCAGGACAATCGACTGTAAAGATCTTCAGATTCACGCTTCGTTCATGTCATTTTAACATTTCTTCTTCCATTTATTTTGGTCCTTCCTGTTCGACCGAGATCATCACAAAATGGAACAGAAAGAGAAAGATGATGGCTATATAGAAACTAAAGTGCTGATGCTATATACTCTATATATATATTTTTGCATCATGTGCAAACAATTTTCGAATAAAAGAAAAAGTTATATGCAAGGTGCGAGAGAATGAATTTAGAAATCGAAAAAAGTAACGAAAAAATCTGTTAGTGCCATCTTTTTTATCACTAAAAATTATGTAAGAAAATGTATTTGCCAAAATCTAAATCGCAGAGATTCGCATTTTGAAAATAACGTAAGAAAACTCAAACTTTTTGATAGTTTTAGAACTTTATTGGAACATGTGATCAATATGGTATATTAATATGCTGAATTCAACCCTAAAGATGTGTAATATTACTTCAAACATAAGAAAAGTAAAAAAATTATACATTTATAATATAATAAAAACTTTGCTTTTCAGATGACAAATTTTACAAATATAAAGAAATTGTTAGAAAATTATAATTATATTAAATGCAATTTTTTGTACATTAAGTCTGAAAAATAAAATTTGTTTCATTATTGTTAAATTATAAAAAAAAAATGTTGTTCATTGTTTTCATACGATACATTTTTAAATCAGTATAAAAAACTTTTCTCAAAGTGCGTTGTAAAATTTTAAACGATATATCTTAAAAATTTTTAACCGTATCTTCTATTTAAAATTTATTTCATTTAATTAACTAAATCTATAATAAATAAGGATAAAATGTCATTTAAAGTTGAAAGTATATATAAGCTCAAATGATATTTTAAAATATAATATAAAATAAAAATTTGTTTTATAATATACAATGCAACTGTTAATTTGTGTGCGCTAATTGTAGGGGTGTAAGTTTTTGGAGACGTCCGTTCCAACTGTAGCATAATGGTCTTAACAGGGTTGCCCTCAAATCATTGGAATGGTGTGAGGCAAATGATGTCCGACCACGCGGAAGTAATGCGGTAATCAAAGGCCCTCGTCTTCTCTTTGCTCAAATTCTATTCTTTTCGTGCAATATGTACTCCAATCATGAACTCTGTTGACTCCTGAGTTATAATAGATGTCACGTTCTTTTTTTTTTTTAATACTGAGATCAATAAATAATCAGTATTTTGGTAAACTAAAAAATCGTTTTCTCCGTGTAGATATCAAAAATAAATTTTAATAATTCCTGTACAGGAATTTATAAAAAATAATTTGTTTAGATAATATTTCAAAATTAAACTGAGACAAATTTTCAAAAAATTTTTAATTTGTAGATTTAAAAAAAAATATGAAAGTTACTTTTTAAAAAAAAATTTCAAGTCTGATTTATGTAAATTCAGAATTTTATCAAAGTTTGAAGTTGAAATGGTTAAAAAAAGTTTCAGTTATACTTTAAAAATAAAATACTTTATAGGTAAAATTGATCAAAAATTATTTGAATTGAAATAATTAATTAATATTATTGTAAATTATTAATTTACATATTTAAGATTTTTTTAAATAATTGTATTTCAAGAGATTTTAAATTGGAATTTATGTAAAATTAAATTGCTAAAGATTTTTGTTTACAAATTACAGAAAATAATTGAATACTAAAAAAAATCAATTAAATAATTAACAAATATTTTACTCTCTAAATCTGAATTATTAAAAATGTTTACTAATTTAAATTAGTGACTCACTTTTTGCTTATGAATTAGTAAAATTTTACTAATTATTAGTAACTTTTACTAACAATTAGTAAAATTTAAGAGAGACTCAGTTTTTGCTTCAGAATTAGTTAAATTTTACTAATTGTTAGTAAAAGTTACTAATAATTAGTAAAATTTTACTAATTCAGATTTAGAGAGTAAATAATTGAATTTTAGAAGAACTTCTTTAAAATTATTGTTTATATAATATATGATCTTTAAAATTATTAAAATTAATAATTAACCTGTCGATAGAATTTTAAATAAGAATTTAAGTAAAGCTACATCCCAGATTTTTAGTATTAATCACATTTCGGTCGATTCTCAATTGAAAATTTTATAAATACGAATTGTTAAAGACTTTTATTTAAAAAAAAATTTAGGCAATAATTTAATTTTATAAAAATTTTAATTGGAAATTTTTTTAATGATTGCATTTTTGAATAATTTTATTAAAATTATTAAAAATAATTAATTTCGCAGAATTTTAAGATTCAAATTTTCAAAATAATTGAATTTTGGAAGAGCTACAGTTTGTACTAAAAAAAAGTCATATAGGTATTTTCTTTTTAATTTAATAAATTAATTAATTTTTATAATTTTATTTTGCAAAATAAATCGAAAGTCAACTTTTTATTAAAATAAATCGAAAAAAATCACATTTTTCAAAAAAAAAGTACAATTCGAGACCTGCCTCTATTGTATCACTTTTTTATTGAAACATCGATGAAGATATTATAATATAAGATATACATACACTTCAGTTTCAATAACTAATAATATGAAATTTTGAGCAAAAATATGGAAAATAAAGTATTGTAAGAAGGCTTTTACTTTTTATATATAGTATTATATTTTACACTTAACAATTTACGTGTATACTTTTCATACGGAACGCGAGTACTGTTCAACTCGTAATTTTCAATTCAGAAAAGTTATTCGAGCGTCTTTTGAACACACGTGAATCTAGCGCAGGCGACTGTATAATCGTTCGGCTGGACCCTTCGAACAATATTCAAGTTACATGCGTATTCAGTTATAAAGTGTAGGGAAATTGTACAAAAATGATGGTCAGTGACTAAAAAATCATCATCATTTAACTATTATGAGTATCTCAGTCCAGTTTACCGATTATTTTAAGATATATATCTTTTCATTTCGTTTACGCCTAAATAATTGAAAGATAATTACATTTTTTGAAAATATAAACTTAATTTTTAATTCTTGTCCAATTTATAAACCGGTTGAGTCTCAATTTATCCTAAAATATAGAAATTTCTTATTACCAATAAAAATGAACCTTGACATTTAGGATACCTGGAAAATTATTTTTCAAGTCGAAATATCACTTTACCTTGAGAATTTCTGTTCGGATTTAGAATTAGAAGTTTCAACAAACATTGGAACTGTAGCCAATAGTTATCTCCTGAGGTTCGGCAATTACTTGTGTTTTGGTACCAAAACTAGTCTCTTCAAATTCTGAGAAGTTAATCACCTGTTTGGACCATTACCAATTTCTAGAGCGCAGGTATCTTTGAAACAAAAACGTCTCCTTGTACTTCGCGGAAGATCTTTCTCGAGACATTTATATTTTTGAGATGAAAAGTATGTATATAAATTTCTTGACAGTCGCATAATTTGTCGCACAACCAATGGGAATAAACGGAAACGCAATCGCAAATACAAGCCAATCCTGCTTTCTACCCGTCCACCCGCTATCTCCCTTTATCTCTTTTTAGTTCTCTATAATTCTCTTTCGTGCTCTCTCCCTCACTTTTGCCCTGACGGTCTCGGTAATGACAATCATTACCGGGAATGATTGCAGCGGCGGGTCCGCCAGTGCCAGTCTGCCATTGGGGGATGGAAACCACCTTATAGTCTCTTCGGTCCTCGATGAGAACGGATTGTCACATACTGTCAGTGTTTCGTGTTTCCTGGTTGTTTGTGATGTGTTTGATAAATATCAAATTTTTACAAAAATTATTGTCTCGGTATGAGAGTTTTATATATAAATCCTCTTTGCCGTCGGTGATTCCTTACGAGTCCAAAAGCGCGGCATTTCTTCATACACTTCATCTTATGATGAATCCATCTTCACAGTAAGTTTTTTTTTGCATTTTCAAATGTAATTATATTTCGAATTATGATAAGATGAGAATTCTGTTTCTAACAAGATAAATTTTCATTGGTTCGAAAAAATTTTAATTTTGATTTCTAAACTCATTTACAATGGGGAAAATAGTATTGAATGAAGAAAACCCATTTACTCTCTAAATCTGAATTAGTAAAAGTGTTTACCAATTTGAATTAGTGACTCACTTTTTGCTTATGAATTAGTAAAATTTTACTTATTATTAGTAACTTTGACTAACAATTAGTAAAATTTAACTAATTCTAAAGAAAAAAGTGAGTCACTAATTTAAATTAGTAAACATTTTTACTAATTCAGATTTAGAGAGTACATGTATGTATTTGATTCAGCATTTTCTTGATTTAAGAAAATTTTACTTACCTACATTTTTTCTTGGGTAATTTTTATGATAAGATATAGAAAAAAAAATTAATGCTTTGTTGAATCTAATTCCTATATAATTTTTAGAAATAAATAACAATTTACCTGTCAATAAATTGTAACTATATTATATCTTATATCAAACATTTTGCAAAGTTCATATTATTTGAAATGATTATTAATTAAATAGACAATAATAAGGAAAATGTTATTGATATTATTCATTATAATTTTGATGTACGCACGTAGAAAAAAATATATATTATTTATTTATTAAGATACTAATTAATTTTCATATATAAACATTTATTTCTAAACATTATACTTAGATTTTTCAATTAGAATTTAATATTACATAAAATTTTAGTCTGTTTGTTGCTATTTTGAAAAATGAATATGCGTGATTCTCTCAAAAAAGGACAGATCACGCTTTCATGGTAATTTGTTTAAAAATAATAAAATTGATTGAAATTATTAAATGTTCTGTAAGCCATACGTTAAGATTGAACTATTTTCAATCGGATTACTAAAGAAAAATTCAAAAAAAGGCCAAATAGGAAACTCAAATATTGAATAAAATCTGTTGCTACGGAGGAGAGTTTTAACACAATAATTTAGTTATTGGACCTTTTTTTAAAATTTTCATTAGTGATACGATTGAAAATTGTTAAATCTTATCGTATGGCTGGCAGAATTTTTATTAATTGAAATTAATTTTATTATTTTTGAACAAAAAAACCGTTTAAAAACGTTCACGGGTGATTTGTCCTTTTTGAGAAAATCAACCATATATCTAAAGGAATTATAAAAATAAATGTTATAATCTTTTTGTTTGCAACAACTAAATTTTGGTTGAACCAATCAAATTTCTATACTAGTTATATAACCAAACTTTTTTGTTGAATCAACCAAAAGTTTATTTGGTTCACTGAAAAAAATTTATCCGAAATCTTCAACTACCTTTGGGTAGTTAAGTGAAAAGAAGTTAAAAATTAGTAGTACAATTAACTTAAAAATGTAGTTAGAATTTAAAACTAACTACAAAATCTTATTATATCAACTACATTCTTAGTTATTTTAACTACTTTTTAGTAGTTAATACAACTTTTAAAATTGAGTTGAGGACCTATTGTACTATACAGGGTAGTTAAAAAGTAGTCAAATCTACTACTTATTTTTTTGAGTGTTCAATCAAATTATTTCTTTGTTCGAAAAATTTATTAAAATAAACAAAACGTTCATTTAAATCAAATAAATATTTATTTGAATCAAACACATTTTGTTTGAAATAACCAATAGATTGTGTTAATATTAAAAAAAATGGTATATATTATTTTGTTGAAATAAAACTTTTACAATGTTGTTAACTATTTTTCTTGTAAAATACTGAATGGATTGATAGCTAATATTTTATGGAGAAGTCTAAAATAAGTTAGGGAACTGATGTTATGTAAGAAAATTATGACATTTTTGTTGAATTAATTATTATAAAACGGCTCTTCCAACTTTTCATTTCTTCAGAAGTGATGACACAGAAAAAAATAGATTCCAATAATAATCGGCTACTTACACGGAGAAAAATGGAAAAACGAATAAAGTAACTTTTATACAATACTTTAAAAGTAAAACCGGAACTGTCTGCAGTTTCTGAGAATTTTTGGCAATTTCTACTCCAAAAATAGTAAAAATTATTTAATTATTTAATTATTTAATTTTACTATTTCTGGAGTAAAAATTAACATAAATGCGCAGAAACTGCGGACAGTTCGGGTTATACTTTTAAAGTATAGTAAAAGTTACTTTATTCGTTTTTCTATATTTTTCTCAGTGCAACTCTATTGTCAATGATAAATATTTATTTGTATAAAAAATAATTATTTACTCTTTTCTTTAATTTCTTTCTAATTATAACATTTTAACAACATATAATCACAGAAAAAACGCTGGGTAAATTTTGTTGCGGGTAATTTTAACCAATGCTAATTCACATAGACGGTGGCGCCCTCAACTAGGATAAAATTTGTTGCAGGTTATTTTTATACCGATTTTGGGGTAAAAATTCTACTTTTTTTTCATGTGATTTTATAATCTTTAGATATATTTCTGCTAACATATTTTTTTTATATTTTCTTTCAGAATCTTTATATTTAAATGATATTTTAAAGCGGTTTTTCAAAATGCTCTAAATTTTTCTCGAATATATTTTTTAATTGAGAAAAATAAAAAACTTATAAGAGAATCAAAATAAAGGTCGTTGAAACATTTAATTGACTCAAATACACTGAAAAAAAAATTTATTTGATTCAAATACTCGATTACTTGACTAGTATCAAATAAATATTTATTTGTATCAAATAATTATTATTTGAGTCAATTAAATGGTATTTGTTTCAAATACAGAAATTATTGGTTCAAATACAATTTATTTAATTCAAATAAAAATTATTTAGTATAAGTAAATATTAATTTAATAAGTATAGTCAAGTAATCGAGTATTTGAATCAAATAAATTTTTTTTCAGTGTAATAATTATTTGATACAAATAAATATTTAATTGATAATAGTCAAGTAATACCGAGTGAATCAAATAAATTTTTTTTTCAGTGATACTGTTATTTATTATGATAATCTTTTTCTCAAGAAAATCTATACTAACATATAGTAATTTCAAAAAATTTCGTCTAAGGTATAAGATTACAAGTTTTTATAACAAGTTTATTACATATTTTTGCTCATTTAAAATCTCGTTCACGATAAAAAAGAAAAATTTTCCTCTAACATAAACAGCACCTTAAACATTATATAGTAATAAAAATGTGTTATTTAAATCTTCGACAATTATACAAATACAGAGATTTCTATAAGCATTAATATACGCAAAAAAAAGAGCATTTTACACAGCATTTTCTTTTTTTTCTATTTACACAATATAAATAATTTAATGCAAAATATTCGTGACTTAATATGGTCAGAAGTTGCGTTTGCGTATAAAATATTGAGATAATGGAGTTTTACACAAGAAAGTCAAAAGGTGGAACAACAAAAATCCAGTCAATTTTTACGGATAATCTCGTGTTTAAAAGAGCGAGTTCTGCGTTTTAAGAGTCAGATGACGAGGTTTCCTAGAAAACTTATAACACAGCGTTATTTCACGGGGCAGTAGTAATGTTTCCCCGAGAGGTTTCTTCTTATGCCATGGAAAATATAATGATGGCGAGCGCGTTCGGCCAGGACTCGCGTTTGAAACCAGCGATAAGGAGTCTAATGCTGCCATAATGATAGCCCTGACTCTGACTATGGCTGCTATATAGAACTAACCATAAAAAGTATGCGAATATATGTATATGTGTACTTGAGGCTGTATATATATGTATATACAAGAGTTATAAGGTAACCAAGTCTTGGCACCACTACGTGCCTTGCACCAAGTCCGTACAAGGTACCACTTCAGCCACCATTTTGTTCCATAGGAATAGGAAATTTGATATTTTGCATGGAAATTCAAATAAAAATGCTAAAAGAAAAAATTTCAATATTTTTAACTTTTTTAATTAGAAATAATATAGTTTAAGATTAATTTAAGTTATCAATTTTATTGTTATTTTTTTATTAATATTTTAAAGATTATAATTAATTGAGTATCGATTTGGCGCGCAGCAATAGCAGACGTTTCACAATAAATAAAATACAAAAAAGAAAACAAACATTGTTTAAGGGTCAGTCCACTGACTTTCGTCTAATAGTGGTTGCGACCAAATTTTAAAAAAATCTAGTTTTAATATATGTGAAACTCGATGATTCCCTGAGTTCATTAACCATAATATTATGGTAAAAATTTTATTTCCTTTAAAAATATTAAATATCAAAAGTAGGAGGTTCACAATGTGATTTTGTAACCTTAAATTTTTCAATTTTTTTAAAAACGCTATTAGGGTCAGTCGGGGTAAATCCGAACGGGGGGTAAATCCGAACGCTAATTATTTCAGCTTAATTAAAATTTTTAAAAATAAGTTCGATATGAGAATTTTTACCTCAGATCCTCTTGAAGAGATTTTAAGTATTATCCCATTTTTTGTTTGTTAATTAGCAACAGCATAAACAAAGATAACAAGTATTGCAAAAAAGATTGAAAATCAAAGATGACACTCTTTCAGTATTTTGTCTCGTATTTGAAGAAAAAGAAGCTAAAAATTCATTTTATTATTTATAATTGTTTGTTATGAATACTAGAACAGAAACTATATTTGATTTTTGCCTTCTGTAAAATTTTATTAATAATATCAGACCGTTCGTATTTACCCAAGAAAATTGGAAAACTGGGGTAAATCCGAACGGTATTTTTAATAATTTTTTTTTACATCAAAGCCACACAAAATTGTTTTTATTTGATTACACTATTATTTTAACATTATAAAAGTACATAGAAAAAAGTTTTTCTTTCTATACGTATCCTCGTTAGTAATTAATAAGCAGAAACTTAATCTCTGTTCTCTCGAAGGAGTGTTTCAATTTTTTTGCCAAATGGTTTGTTGAAAAAAGTTTTTCAGGATCTTAATAAAATTTGGTATTCTACGGTTTTTGGGGTCG